GTACCAACTGCAACGAGGTTAATAATATGCTCAACAATGAATATTCTTATGTTTCAACCCCTAACTATAATATTATTGACGTTGTAGAAAAATTTCAGAAATTTACTAATATTTTATCGAATTGTATAAATTCTTGTACTCTTTCAAAAAAACTGATTTCTAAACGTAAGCTTATCAATTCTGCTCTCTAGTGGGACATCGAATGCAATCATGCCAAAAGGCTAAGAAAGGCAGCCTTCAAAAAATATTAGTTTTTGCTTGAATTAGACGATTTCATTACATAAACAAAAAAGATGTGCTGAAGCAAAAAACCTGTTTTAAAGTAAATGAAAAAACGCTGCTTCAAATTCTTTGCTGAAAGCCTTGACTTTCGTGTTAACGCAACTTTTGTTTAGAACAAATGAAAAATTATAAAAAATAGTTTAATTGACATTAAACCACCTAACATATCCAAAAATCTCTGACTAAATTCGAATGCTGCGAGAGTTCTGTCCAAAGTATGTACCCACTGGGTGCCTAAGAATCTCGTTGTAATAACGATCTGTAACTTTAATAATTTTTTTTTTGACTCACGATTCACATTCTTGGAACTCAACACCACTCTTAAAAACAAAAAAAAATACATCTTTTCTAGGAATGGACGGGATTGACTTTGATGTATTAAAAAAAAATTCCCATAAAATACAAGCTGCTATTACTTGATCTGTTTAATATAATGTTTTATCAAGGCATCTTTCAATCCTCTTGGAAAAATGTCTTTGTGCCCTTTATTTAAAAAAACCAACAGCATTTGACTTTGACCAATTTTTGTATTTTGTAATTAGTTACCTCCTGAATCGTTAAACATCTTGAAACTATCATTAAAAATCGATGAGAGTTGTCAGCCAAAACCAACAACTGGCTACCGGGCTGCCAGTACGGCTTTCGTAAGGAGTACTTTTGCGTTGACAACTTGTCCAACTTTACTCTCACAGTTAGAGGAGTATTAAATAATAACTATAAAGTATATGCTGCCTTTCTCGATGTATAAAAAGCATTTGACAATATACACATTGATATCCTGCTTGAGAAATTAGCTGACCTCAGTGCCTCTTTTTTAGTAGTTTAGTTTATTAAATGCATCACTCCAGAACGACATATTTACACTGATCACAATGGTCTCATTTATAGTATTGCATGTAAAGAAGTGACAGTTCTCAGCCTTCTACTCTATACCATGTAAGCTGCCTTGATAATACAAAATCTTCCAAAAAGTGTACATACCATTTGTTTCGCAGATGATACACCACTTTACGTAAGATCCAACCCAATTACAGAAAATTGCCTCGTGACTCTAGAAGACCCTATACAAACCCTTGACTAGAATATTTCTGCAGTTGTTTTAAGTATTTTTTTTTCAGAAGCTCATTTAAATAATTTTAATAAAGACAAAAAAGTAAAACCTAGAGGCCTTCAGATTCAAATGCAAAACTCTTACCTCAAATTGAAAAAAGTGTCAAATATTTTAAAGTAATTCTTTATTCTTAACTCTTATTTCAAGACCGAATTTCTAATGTTCACAGAAAATAATGGCTCCCATAAAAATAATTAAATGCCTACGCAGAATAAGGTGAGGTTCTTATCCTGACATACTTTAAATTATTGAAGAAAGTTACAAACTCTTTTTTAGTGAGTGGGGCAGCTTTGTTTACTACCTTAATAACATCAACTTAGCGAATAAGCTCAAAAACATCCAATGTGCAGCGATTACACTGGCACTAGGCTACTACACTAGCACCCCATTTAATGTCCTTTTAGCAGGATGAAAACTTGTGTCTATTAAAAAATGAATGACATTTATAAGCAACTGCTACCTATCCAAAATATTTAAAATATTTAACAACAATTCGATTGAATTCAACTCGGTTATGACGAATTTACACAGCCCTTTCCATAATAAACACGTTAATAGACTACTTGCAGCCAACTTAATGAAATTTATAAACTTAAATCTACCTATTTACTCTTTTGACAACTTTGCTTACTTTTAATACAGCTACTCGACTTCAATCCTTTCTATTCCAACAAAAATTTCTTTGGACCAAACCCTCAAAAGCTCTTCCACTTCCAATTAAACCTTAACTGAATATCTGCTATCTCAACACGCCATTATCATATTTACAAATGGAAGTAGGACAACAATTTTTTCATTTGTGGGTTTGGCCTTTTACTGATCCTTAACTAACTTCTAACGCTCCGTGAGCATTAGCCTTCAGTCTTCCATTTTCTCTGCTGAATTTAATGACATCAGTGAAGTTTTAATTGCATACTGACTTATGGCAACACTAACTTAATAATTCTGAGCGATTCTCTAATTGTCCGAAAGAGCTTAAAATCTTTCAAAACCAGTGTCAAAACAAACCACGTACTTTTAAAATCGAAAATAAATACTTTGACTACAGTTAAAGAAATCCTATCAACTCAATCAAAGTCATCTAGATCCCTCCTATATCGGCATAAAAGGTAACGACAAAGCTGACCGTTTCGCTAAGGCAGCCCCAACTACTAATTTTCCTTGATCTACTCCGGTTACTTTTACGGATATTCAGCAAGGGTTCTATACTGATTTTTACTGTGCTTCAGAAACAAAAGATATTCGTGAATGCTTAAACAAAGACACAATCTATTTCAACATAAACTATTGGTCTACAAAAACCTGGTTTTTCGGTAAAAATCTCAACAAATCAATTATTGTAACTGTCAATAGAACATTCTCGAATCATTATAGTCTTGCGGAATCCGCATACCGCAAAAACATTATTGTTGACTATAAACGTAAGTGCGGCTATAAAGATGAAAATCTAAATCATACAGTGTGGAACTGTCCCCTTCTCAAAAATAATAAAGCGCCCACGCTTACTAAATTATTCAGTATTAGTCGGCTACCTCAACTCAACGTTTACCTCAACAGAACACTTGCAATATGTGTCTAATTTTTGCAAGCGGCCTACAACGCTTCAATCAAAACATTTCAAAAAAATATATTTCTCTGTATCAATTCAATCGTAATAAAAATATTATATACTTCTATCTACTTTCAAGAACTACTCAAAAACTGTTAATCGCACAGCATACCTTTTGTTCTAAATATAACAAAATCTCTGTAAAAGCACCCATTTAAGTACCAAGTATATTACTGTATCAAATAAGTGCGCCCTTACACTAAAGTTGTAATTGTTTCAATTTAAAAATCAATAAAGGCATTGTATATACTTTACATAAAATGAATACACTTTAGTACATAAAAAGATATAAATATGTATACCATATCTCCATGCATACTGTTATAACATTTGACTATTTGCAGCTCACGCTTAGTCTAAGAAATGAATACGAATTGTTTTTAATAAATTATAAAATTTTGTTTCGTATTTTAGCAGTTGTACAGTAAGTTCTTCAAAAATACAATAAGTTTTCAGACTATGTTTGGACATGCTTTAAGAGATATTTAAAAGAGTACGGACTCCTTAGCATTTTGCGCAGTGGACGTAACGAAACCATTCAGCCACACATGCATCACTTTACGTCTTACTAGGAGTACCTACAAACCTTCTTTTAGTGTCAGAGATTATGGGAAGCTTACTAATTCATCGTTCAGTTGTATTGTATCAATAGTTCAGTTGCACATCATATAGATTACCGTTTTCTATAAAACTGAGCAGTACACAAAAATTAACCCTTGTGCGCATTTTACTTACAACATATGGTATAAGAAAAAAGAAGTCAAGCTATGTTTTTCTCCTAGAACTTTCAACTATGTTTCTTCATTTAGGCTTAATGAATAAACGAATGCAGAAAATTGTGTGACAACACTTTTTTATTAATACATTGATCCAACTGACTATGAATATAATATAATCTTTTCATTATAATCGTTATTACTCAAATTGTCTTTGAATAAGTATGCATAAGTTAAAATTAGTTTACAAGATTAAAATTATATAAAAAATTTCGTCATGTTTATAAGCTATAAGTACAAGCATAAAAATATTACGCAGTCTAATGTCAGTGTTACCAAAGAATTATCAAATTTCTTATCACTAATAAACTTAACATAAAAAAATTTGCACTTTCATACCTATATTTATAGAAAAAATAAGCACATTATACAGAATTTGAGAGTAACATAACTTGTACTGGAGATTTCTGTAGTATATTAGAATTTTCCCTAAGTAAGAACTTTTCTTAGCTATGCTATATGCTTTTAAATAAGCAGATACTTGTCACCAACATAACAGTTCGTAGTACTACTGAATTAAAAAATCATGTCACTTTTCACCATATGGGAACGATCTTGCTTCTAGCTAACTATATGGTAAGATCGGATCAAAACTTTTAAAAAATAATAAAAGGATTATGATTATTTGAGTATTTAAGAATGTACACATAAATCTCGATTGCATAGTAGCTAAGTTACTGAGGCTCCATCTCTTTCTCAGACTTACCAAGGAGCGGCGAGATTACTTAACGACTAGATAACTGTCGTACAAGTAACTTTTACTGAGAGTCAATGTTATGTTGGGAAAGTATTATTTAAAAATATTATATGACCAAATTTTTAACAGCTGTGATTAAAAGTTATCTACGTTTTATTTATTGTAGATGGTTCAACCCATATTCTTATATCATTATAATATAATCAAGCAAACTTTTATTTATCATAACCTAACTTTATAAAATATAAATATTATTGAGATACCTAAGGCATGAAGACATTTCTCGCTGTTTGCCTTTGTACCTCATGTTTCACCGTTGTCACTACTTTGTGCTCCTGGACAAAAAAGCACACTTTTCACATTTAGTAAGAACAACAATACACGTAACTCAGGCATAATTTTGGCCTTTAAGCTCATGCTTTGCACCCTATTTACATTATTAACTATTTGTGCAAAATTTCTATTTAATATTTCTTTAAAAGAAAAATTTTACATGAAACCTAATAACTGCTTACCATCTTACAGTTTCAGAAAAGCAGTGAGCATGCTCTGTTCAGCGTCTCTGTTGTGGACGTTTTCACACAATTAACGCAATGTTTTGATGTTGTGTCAAAACTTGAGTGCCCTGATCCGGAAATATGGAAAAGATATATGAAAAGATTTGCAAAAACCATAGTTAAGGTATTGATTGCGTATGCTGACATTGTCAAAAAAGAATTTCCATATCATTTAGAAGATGAAAGAATAGTAAGTAACAAAAATCATAAAAAAATTAAAATACCTTTTAAGATTGTTTTAGACGTTCTGTATTTATAGGCTTGTATATTGATGAATAACATTCAACAACTTCGTGTTCAACTAGAAAAAATGTTCGAATCAATGGGTGGTGAAAATCTGGAAAAAGATGCTGCCAATATATTAAAAGAGTTACAGGCCCAACTCAACAGTGCTTTGGATGATCTAGCAATGCAGTTTGCTGACAGTTTAGAAACTCGAATAACAATATCAGTAAAAGAACTTGGAGACTTGCTACTATCGATAAAAGAAAGTGGTCACACAAGTCAATCAGCCCAGCGAAATAATGTATCTGTCGAAGCAGATGAAGTATTGAGACCCTTAATGGACTTATTGGATGGTAGTTTAACGTTGTATGCTCAGTCCTGTGAAAAGACTGTATTAAAACGATTACTTAAAGAACTGTGGAAAATAGTCATGAGAATCCTGGAGAAAACAGTAGTTCTACCACCTATGACGGATAAAAGTGTAAGAACTGTTTAAATTATACTATTATAACATTTTGTGTATTTACTTCTACATAACAAAAGCAACTTTTAGCAAGTACTAACAAATACTATAGATTTGTATTTTTTTTTTACAAATATAACTACATTTGTTACAATGACAAAAACTGATTCTGTTTTCGTTTAGTCATACCAAAAGATGAAAGAAGCTGTTTGATTTAAATTGCAATTAAAATCCATGTAGTAACTCAATGGGCATAAAAGTTCATTGTTTATGAATTTCGTGAGCCACACACCTTATCTAGAAAAACAGTTAATATTTTTCCTAGTTTCACGATGTGAGAAAAAGTCTGGCGTCTTCATCTACATAAATATAATTTAAATGCATCAGTACTTAGTCACCGTAGTAAATCTATATACGCAATTTTCGTTAACAATTAGAGATACTTTTAACGTCATTCGATATATAAGTAAATATTGACTGAATCTAATATCAATGAAAACGTTCCACACAAATGAAAAAAAAAAAAAAAATAAGCACGTATTATGTCAAGTAGTTAAATATCCCAGTACTTGGCCAATCCAAATGGAATTTACACTGTTTTACGGTGCTAAGTATTTTAGAAGATTACTTTTTATACATCATGAACAATTTTTTTGTATGTAGATTGATGATACTTATTCGCTAACGTTTGAAAAGTAAAAACTACAATTCATAGGTGCGTAAACTAAATATAGATCTTGTGTTCTACAAAAAAGGTTACTTTGTATAATTACGTATGAATAATTTATTAAACATTAAAAAAGGGGCATGCAGCAAATCAAATTTAATGACATGATAATACGAATTTCTAATGATTCTTGTTATAAATAATTTTATAAATATATGTTTTCAGAGTTTTGTTAAAACTTTTTACAAGTATTGTACATCATTCTTACACTATATTTGTTCTTATAGAATGTTTCTATAGTATTCTTTTCTTAATTGTGTTATTTTTCGATAGACCAACTACTGAGAAGAAGGTTGTGTTTACGCAGAATCTAGAATTTTTGAATAAGCCAACTACTGGGACAACAGGTTATGTTTGTACGGGACCTAGTACTTGGCTAGGTGACCAGTTATCGGTCTAGCAGCCTAACCATGTACCATGACTTGGCCATTAGGATTTAAATAAAAGAGTAGTTAACAAGATAAAAGTTGGTGTAAAACATAACTTAATAAACAATAAGCTTCCTAAAAATACATATTTTAACAACAATCCAATCTTGCATAGTTTATGACAGCTTATGAAACACAAGAGTTTTCATAACCAATTAGTTAAAAACGTAATGCACAGCGTGATACCAGTACCTACTATTACTTCAGACATTTTTTAACACTATCGTTCATACAAAATTGATAAGATTACTTTTCAAAATGGCAGACTTTTTCCATGGCTGGTAGTAAACTTATAAATCATTTTTAACTGGGCATCCTGTCTCTCTTTTACTAATACTCTACTTACGTACAGTACAATATCAGCACACAAAAAAACTACTCAATGAGCAAGGTATTAAAAGCAAGTCTTTCCAATGTATGCTGTCATATGACAAGCCATCAGACCATATAAGCAGTACAAAATATTTGTTCAATTGTTGAGGTGGAAGTGTAACCGTATTTTTACGTAGTATTGACCAAAAAAAAAATCTTTTTTTCTAGAAATATTCATAAAGAAGATGTAACAGTCATAGTAATCAAAATTTGTATTGGTTAGCAAAAATAAATTTCCATGACTTTTCAAAGTTTCGCGTAATTAGACATAATTAGTATATTAATACGTTGCCAAAAAAGTCACACTTAAGGCAGTTACATACAGCTATGTTAAAGGTCTTTAGTACAACTTAATTAATAAAAGATACATGAGAGCTCTTACTAAATAAAGTGGTACTTTTTAATAGACTATGTATATATCCCTTTTACTGAAACAGTAGGATTTACGTTTGGATAAAATCAACTAATACAAAAGCCCCTGTTTTATAAAAAATAAAATTAGTTACAGGTTTAATATGTTCGTATTTGAAGTAAGCTATCAATCACTCAGCTTATTTAATAAAGTAATGTGTAATAAAGAAAATTAAATAGAAGCGGCTTTTAATTGTATTTTTCAAAAACAGTAGGGTTGCAAGTTTGAAAAATCATCCTAAGATCATAATTATACTTCTCACGGTGAAAATTCAACTTTATTCTTGCCCTTGTACGATGTACTGAGTCCCTACTATTATACACTATACTATTTCAGCTAGTAAGTTAATATTCACTAAAGATACAATACGTTTTGTATCGTTACGAGATAGCGTTGCGGGCTCTTAGCGAAAAAGGAGCATTACGGGCTCTCATAAAATCGCCAAGAAATCGAGATTGTATAGCCCCAAAAGCAAATTAAACTTTGCCACTGCACTTATATTTAACACAGCTGAATCTTAATCTACCATCTTTGGAGTTAATAACTGAACTCTCTAAAAAGTTACATAACATATATAAGCGTTACTAGCCCTTGGTTTTTATTTTCAGGAGACAGAATCTTGAAATTCGCGATCCTGTAGAAATAGTTTATTGGAATTAGAAATTCAAAAAAATTCCTGCAACATACTTGACCTTTATTACATACAAAATGCCCCATTTAGAATGTCTAAACTCAATTGCGGGATTTTGTGACAGTATTTTCTGTTAAAATGTTAAATTTATAAGATTTTGGTCCCACAACTTTAACAGCAGCTTACTCTAGGATACAATTTTTTTTGGCTGCCTTAAATGCGTGTAAATATTGTTTCCGTTACTGACTGTGTGGTTCCATACCGTAGAAGAATTAAGAACCCTGTATTTTGTTCCCAGGCATCGTCAAAACTAAAATTTTTCGAATGAGATGTAAGCCCGTAACGCTTGTTTGGCCCCCTTTTTGAGCCCCAATCTAAAGAAATACTTCTTCATGGTCTGGATTCTTTTGTACTCTTAGAATTAAGCATTTCTTGAATAATTAAAAAGTTTTTTAATGAATATCTCCTCAAATGACATAGTATTCGACTAGGACATAAAATATACCGTTTTCAGTAGAATGACCCACATACATACATACGTAAAAAACCACTGGACAGTAGATGCTTCAGTACCCAAGTATGAAGTCATCTTCCATTAAAATGAAGTGGCAGATTTATATAATTAGAAATATAAATATATATTCTGTAAAACAATATTGTGTACGGATGGTGTTATGATTGATGGAACGAGTATACTTTTATTGAATAGGTATAGTCTTAAAGGATTGCTTAACTCTTAATTAATTAACGGTTATAAATAATACATTATGGCATAATGCACAAAGAATAATATATAGGCTGGCCAGAATCATCAGTTTCAACGAAGTTGAAACGGTCTTATAGAAATACAAATACGTTGTTAGCCAGAATAAGAAAATTATTTCTTGTTTTGTTTAAAACAAATACAATGGCTTTTGAATTCAGACATTTTAAGTGCTTTATTTAACTAAATACATATTTCAAATATGTTTACGAAGATAAAAATACGTTAGTTCAGAAACACCTAAAAAAAGCATAGCTTTTGTCATAAAAATTCATTTGTATGATGTAAGTTTCAATCAAATAGGACCCTACGATTAAAAGTTCTATTGAAAATATCATCATTTACAAAATACGTTAAATGTATTTCCTATTGGATGCGACTCAAAGGGAGGTACAATGACTCACTAAAAATGTTTTTTTTTTTTTCTTGTGATGGCAATTGATACTAAAAGAATGTCAGGGTAAGCACGTCTTAGTTTTATTCGTAAACCAAAAAATTTGAATTTATATTATCTTATAACATTAAAACCCAAGTTAAAATCATATCATAATAAAATAAATAGATGGATAACGGCGCGTTTACGTTTCAATTTCAAATTTTTTGCCGACAGCCTTTAACATATGTAAGTATGACAGCGATACTACATATAAAATAAGTAATATAAATAAAAGTGATTTACTTGTCAGGCTTTTTTTTAAATACATACTATTTAAATCATAAAATTTTAGAAAAGTGTACCTAACACTATACGATTTTCAAAATACCGAGTTCAATAATTCACTAGTTGAAAGTTTCACTTCTACCGGGGGTCCCAAGACCCACACCGAATTTTTGGTTTTTTTTGGAATAAGCTAAAGACAAAGAAAGAAATTTAATGAAATTTTATGAAATTTAAAATATGTGTAATGTGAAGGGGAAAAGCTGGAGTGTGGTAAGGTAAGGGGAGTAGGGTAATGGGAGAGTAACATGCAAAATCCACTTTCGTCATACACTTCCTCAAGGTCACCAATTTGAAATTTTTGATTAACTTTCAAACATAACGTGCCCATAGAAGTATAACCTCAAAAAGAAAAAGCAAAAATTAAAAAATAAATATAGGCGTTCTGAAGGTTAAATACACGTTACGCTGGTCAATCCTAAGCGTAACTGATTGGCATTGAGTGTTAAGCTTGTGACAAGAATTTTTCAGCCGAGAAAACAGCCGTCCCGAATTCCCTCACGAAAACTCGCTTACTTACTCCTCCTCGTCCCTCTCCACTGGATTCTTCTCCTCCGGGAGGTCTGCCGCTGGTGCTCGGCTCGAGAACGCCGAACACTCCTGAAAAGAAAACTAGAAGGGGACTTCGGGGCACCAACTACAAAAAAATAACTCCCTGGTATCACTTTCACCGCGCGTGCGCTATTTATTCTCCCTTCTCTTCTGTTTACAAGTCCCACCTCTCACTCTCTCTCTCTTTCTCTCTCGAAATTGTGTAACCAAGTATTTGTATATCTCTGTATAAATAGATACATGGTTCCACTGTCCTCGAGGAAGATGTCCTGCGTTGAGCAACTCCTGGTCGTCCTCCGCCGGCCTTAACCTTTATTCAGTTGGCGATGACCCGTACCTTAATCTCTCACTCACACGCACATGCTCGCACACAATCCCTCTCACACCTCTTGTCTCTCGACCTTTCTCTAGTGCC